TTAAAGGTTCCAATAGTAGAAAGCTAACTTGAAGATCGACAAGGAAAGAGACAACTTCAGGTAAAGCTGCAAAACATCAGACAACAGTACAGCCTAACGTTATGTCTGAATAATATCTGCCGTACACTCTCTGCTTCTTGTTCGGTCCCTCTCTTCTTCTTTTTTATATTCAGGTCTAATCACAGATTTTTTTTCCTCTGTTTTTAGGTTCTTGTTTAAATTTCACATATACTTTTATCCCTGCACAGGTTATGGACGTTATTCTTCATATAAATCTGTTTTTAATTGCACAGTTTAAGTTTGTTTCATCTCGGGGTATTCTTTAAATCTTTTATTCAGGTTAATATATATGTATGGGAGGGGGGGCGTTGGTTTTGTGGTTAATTTGTACCAAATGTTTCATGTCATGTCTTTGTAACCTGCTACTGGATGCTTTGAATTTCTCTCAGGATCAATAAAGTTTCTATCTATCTAATATCATCCGTCACCATCTTCCTGCTCTTAGCCGCCATTGTATCAAACAGTAATACAGTAACTAATACAGTATTTTATAACTACAGGTGGTGTACGAACTGGTGCCATAAAGCCGTCGGCACTTTCTCACAAGATGACCTCAGCCCGCTGCCAAAGTCACATACTGCAGTAAACAAGGCAATTGGGCCGCAGTGTGGACGCCACTCTCCGTGTTCAAAGTTATTGTGCTATTAAATTAACCTTTAAAACTTCTATTTTAGGAAGTTTAAGCTGCATAGTGTCGCTTTAATGTAAAATTCTGCTGGCAGTTGGACTACCTTGTATCAGTGTCTGTTTCCCTCCTGATGTGCACCACAACATTTCTGGGGCTGCATTGTCATTAAACGGCCCCCTCAGGAGTCAACCTCAGACAGACAGACAACAATCGAGGGGATTTTCTAAGAGACTGTGGTGTCAGAAAAGTTCAAGTAAGGTACACCCAATAGCTTGTGATGGCATTTGAGCACGGCTGCACGATGTTTGACCTCCATCAGTTTCTCTATCTGGGTTTTTGTGACTTCAGGACTGTTGTGCTGCTTATCTTAAAGAACACCTGGAAGGAGGATAAATGACCCACTGAGGGTCAATGGTCAACTGGTAAGAATTTGGTAATTGGTTCAATCCAACATATCACTAGAGTACACTAATCCTGTCACCATTTCAACTTCACTTTGACATCCTGGTGTTTTCTGGCCATAGTTCTTGTGTCAGCCATTTCTTTGTGATACCATGAGGGAGTGTTTCAACAAATATCTTCATTCAGACTTGAGAATGAAATGAAGTCTGCTTTGGTCAAAATCTCCCTTGTTCTTTTTAGTGAAAATTTCAGACTTTAAAGAAAAATAAAATTATACAATATTCCAAAAAAACTCATACATAGAAATGATATGAGCAGTGCGAAGACATTTTTGAACCTGTCATTTTAAGACTATTGTATTTATTCTTTGATGCTTTTATTTCGAGATTGAATGGGAAAACTCAATGTTACATACATTGTCACACAATGACCAACACCTCAGAAGAATATGGCATGTTTTAACCTTTTTTTGTTTTAAATTATTATTAGATAAAACAGCTGACGAGAGACAGGAAGTGCTGCGAGTAGAGAGTGGAGGATGCCATGCATCAGAGGTTGAATTAAGACGAACGCACGGCTCAGCTGATCTGAGGACTGTTCTGTACATGGTTATGGCGTCATAGCCGCTAGGCTATCGGCGCCCTGGAGTATGGCATGTTAACCAAAAGGGATTATGCTGAAAGTTGATCAATGTTTTCCTAAAAATTGTGAATGGAATTCTTTGTGCGGTCACAATCCCTCCTGGATCTCTTTAATGATACTCAATTATAGAGGCACTTTTGTTTTTCTTTGTCAGCTGTGGTCGCTGACAATGACAGTGGTGATCTGACTCCAGAGAATAACTGAGTAGATATACTCCTCTGTGAAAATCCCTCAAAGCTTTTGTTTTGATTCCAGCTTTGGCCTTTCTCTTTCCCTCTCTGTAGATCGCTGTTAAACTTGCCTAAAGGCTCTGTGGGGAGGAAATTGAGGGTGGGAGGGGGGTAACTGTACCAGCACTCTGTTTTATGCTGAAATCACGGTGACTAGGAAAGAGAGAGCATCCCCATGGGTCCATGTACAGTACGTAGAGCAGAGCCTCTTGTGGTTTTACAGACAGATTTAACTACAATATGGCTCTGTGTTGCCACGGTGACGGACTGCTATTAACGTGTTGTTTTTCCTGAGGGAGAGGATGTCGTTCACCCTTCTGTCCCTTCCCACTGAGGTGAGGTTATACCAGGTCACACGTTCTACAGGGCATGAACCACACAGTGAGCACAGTGACACCTCACTGTTTCTGGCCTGGATTTGTTTTTATACCCAGGATGTGCCACAAGTGTAATTATTACCACCAGCAACAGTGGTTTTAATCCAGTATGAAACAAATGCCTGTGAGGTCTAGAAAGTGGAACCTCTCTTACAAAAGGGAAAATTACTTTGCATTGTTAGCGGGTGATGGAGGAGGGTTTTTTTCTCCCGTCATGATTCTAAGAATTTTCTTATGATTCTTTGAGAACACAGCTCATGGTAGTAGGAAGCTTTATGAATACGCCCCAGGTTTCCCACCCTACATTTGGAATTTATTTCTTCATTGATTTAATTGAATTACTATATTTTCTACCAACAGCCACTCCCCCCTTCAAAAGCAAGCTGACCTAGATCACATATTTCAGTGGCACTAACACATATTTATGTGAAAATGAAAGAAAGAATACTTTAATAATAATATACAGACCAGTCACACTTTGTCGATTACTTAATGAGGTTAAATGTTTTCGCCATTAAAGTCCTCTGTCCCAGAAAGTGATTTATAATTAAAGTTATCTTTAGATAAAAAATAAACCTCGCCCTGATTGAATTTGTTTTATTAGTTGTTATCTGAAATGTATTCTTCAATTAAAAGATTATGATCACAGTGGAACAAGTCCAGTATGTTATGTTATTTCACGTTTGTTTTTCAGAGGGAGGATGTTGATTCAAGAGGAGAGTCTGGGGGAAATATGAACAGGCAGGGAACTTTATGTTCAGTCTGCACTCCACTCATTTTCATACCATCGTCAGAGTCCAAACATTTAGCCAACATTTCTCTAATTCTCATTATGGAGGACCTCCCTCAATCAAAATGACTGTAGTTCCTTGGTCTGTTATTGTTTCCCTCACTCATCACATCACAGGGAGCAAAGGTCCTGTTTGAGAGCTTTTAGTCACGTCAGGTTTCCATCAGCTCCCTGCTTCTGTTTATGCTGGCGTGCAATTAAGGAACGTTTTTTTTTTTTTTTAAACCGGGGAGAGTGGTGAAAGACTTCAGCATGCTGCAGGTCTGAGATACACATGAGGGCCTTCAAAGCAGTGATTAGGAGAGCTGATGACTTAACCCTTGTCTACAGTCAGGACGTGTGAATATAGAGGGAGAAAATAATTCATGTACTCTGGAGGAATATGAGGGCTTTTTCTCTTCCTGTCACTTACGGTATGACGAGCTTGCAGGATTAAAAAGGTGCAGTTGTACACTCCCGTAGCTACTGTATGTTGTCCTTCAAAGATGATGTCCAATTACAGCATTGGTAGTCAGATAAATTCTACTGATCTTGGTTATAAATACCAAGTGTACTAAGGGCTCTTCTGCACCAAACCTCAAAAAACAAACTCCAGTCCGATTGCCAAGTTAGTTTGTGCTGGCATGAAAGCTGCTTATCAAACCTCAGTGCAGACCAAACAACCGTACCCGTAACTCTAAATATTGCTCGTGCGTGACATCCCTAGAAAGCTATGATTCCTGTGTTTCCAACCATGTAAAGTATTCCAAGATCCAACCACTTCAGTAGCCACAATCTACTCATCTGTCAGCCCACCAAACAACGCTCCAGCTGCTTTGGCAATGGTCCCTACAATCCAAATCCATTGAAAGATTTAATCCAAACACATCACATCCATATATACGTATATCCACAGATTTAATTATATTTGCCACCGTTCCCAATATCCCACAGTTTTTTTTTTTAATGTGTCATGTTCTTGAATAGAATTATTCGATTAAGATCCAACCAAAAGGCAGCTACATTTTTTGTTATATCTTAATCGACTCTGACCTTTGGATGACACCTTGTTTGGCCAGTTATAACCTTCCAGACTATATTAGCCAATGAGAGCATGAGTAGAGAAAAGGTGCCTGCCTATTCTGGTGTATGTATACCTGGGCCAATTCCACCTGACTGTGCCAACGACTGACTTAGCTTGTAGCTAATGAAATTCTTACCATGTGGAATATGCTGTGGCTCTGTTAACTTACAGGAATTCCAACCAATTAGAGAGGATTTCCTTGCGTATCACATATTTTGGTCCGCTTGTAAATGTCCCATGTGTAAACAGATAATAACCATGTAATAAATTGGTCCATGATTCTGACCAGAGCAAAACAATATGTAGGCGGGAAAATGCCCTAAAATGCTGAAAATGAAGTTCCCAACTTTGAGTCTGGCAGAGACTTGTGTTACATGTTATCGACCTCATTTTCCCAGACTTCTGTCAGCTCTCTCCTGTGTGGTGGTTCGTCAGTAATTTAAATATTATTTAAACTATGTGAGGTTGTTTTTCTCTGTATTTATTTTGATGAAATGTAATTTAAAAAAAAACAGAAAAATGTTTCTGGGCTGTGCAGTTGTCATGAGAAACGAGCTGACTCCGCGAGGCTTTCCTGGAGTGACGCATTATGCTAATGTCTTTAATTAAGACAGAAAATGTACAGAATATGTGGGGTGTGCATCAAGTTTGATTACCTGAGCTAAAGCCTCTTCAAAATGCTTCCATTTGCATATTTGAGTGCCTGAGCTTTTAGCCATCACAATGTACTGTATGATGTCCTCTTGATATTGAGCATGCTCAGATTCAGTCATGAATTATCTCCTCTTTTCTGTCTGTTTGTGTCTAGATGCAAAGGAGAGGACCACCAGAAGTTTCTCAGTCAGCGGGGTCTTGAACTATACTTCCCTCCTCCTCAGTAAAGAAGACAACATGCTTTACATTGGCGCTCGGGAGATTCTCTTTGCTCTCAACCTGAGCGACATCAGTGCAGTCAAGCTACAAAGAAATGTAAGAGCTGAGAGTGTAAACTGCAGTTTTATTAACAGTACACTGTGTCAGTATTCATGTAGTTCAAACTGTACCCCAGAGGTGCAATAAGAATATGACTATATGTTTAATACTGTCCCAAAAGTCCAATATTGAAGATAACCATTCTCATTGTGCTATTCCTCTAGTATCAGTCTGACAGTGTTTCTTTTCTGCAGCTCACGTGGGAAACTCCAAAGATGAAGAGAGACGAGTGCAGTTTCAAAGGCAAAGACCTGCAGGCGAGTGAACCGCTGGTGTAAAAGCTCAGATAGCTTTAATCCAAATGGCTCAAACTTTATTTACATTACTGCAGGTTTCCCTGTTTAGTCACATCGTTGCACAAACACAAACCAAAAGCAAAACCCTCTCAAGCTGTAACTTTCCATTCCATCAGTGGGTTTTTCCATTCCTTTCAAACAAACTTAATCAACGACACTCTTTCTTTTGTCAATTCTTTCTTTCACTTTTAAAGGGTAAACTTAGGCCAAGAACAAAGTGACGTTATGATTATCGAGAGGTCAAGAGGAACACCTGACCATGAGGATCTGTTTGTTTTCAATATTTAAAAAGATTTTTAAAGTGTTAAACTTAGGAAAAGTACTTTATCTTGACCTTGCACTTTCTATAAAGACAAATAAATACTGAGTGAAGTAACCCATTGGTTCTTGAAGGGATGTTTGGAATCACATCCATGGCGGTTGCCATATTGGAAATGCTGACTCTTTCAAACTTCCGGTCACCCTAATGACAGGCAAAGAGCTCGAGCTGAGCCTTAAAGGGATACTTCACCCGTTGAAACATGAATCTGTATTGAAATTGAAAAAGTACAGTTTGTGCAGATAAAGACATTAACTTATGATACATAAATCTTTTTTGTAGCCAGCTGTAGACATATTAATTTCTGTCTAAGATGATGTTTTAATATGGGGTTTCTATGGGGCTTTTGGAGCCAGCCTCAAGTGGACACTTGAGGAACTGCAGTGCCCTTCTGCATTGGCTTCATTTTACAACACTGGAGGTTTGGTTCTTGATCTTGACACAAGAAACAAAACAAATCTGTGGAAACAATCTGAGAATTGTTTTGATTGAGTACAAATCGGAAAGATCCAGACATATAAAGAAAGTTAAATGGATATGTTTCTGTTTGTTTGTAGATCTACTGATTTTTCTACCTTTCTAAACCAAATTCTTCTGTTTCTCTTACAGACGGACTGCTTCAATTACATAAAGATTTTACTGCCGCTGAACAGCACTCATCTGTATGTTTGTGGAACATACGCCTTCAGCCCCACCTGTGCTTACATAGTGAGTGTTTATATAAAGCAGTCACATCTGCTATGACACATGTTCTTGTCTTGTAATTTCAGCATCTAAAAATTAATTTATTGCTTTATCTAAATGAAGTTGATTACCCCTGATGCAGAACTCTAGACTCCATGTGTACTTTTTTTTAGATTCTAGTGGGAGAGCATCTCCAATCTGCTGCTGCTTCCTGCCTCTCAGCTCAACATGTACGGCTGGCTGAGGCCCAGGCCGAGCTAAATACAATATACTGAATGTTGCATTATTTTATTACCTCCCGTGCCTCAGGGAAATGGATCCAAAATATTTAATGCATGTTATAAGATTACATAAGAATCGACCCACTTTTTCAATTCTTCCCCTACAAATCTTTTTTACAGCCTTTTAGAACAATCCCATTTACAAACACACAGGGCTGACCTGTGCTTCAACTTCACCCAGAGACTCACTGACCACCTTCTCACTGTGGGACACACAGACAGCGCCCACTGTCAGAGCAGGTTACATCTCTGTGTGTCTCGGCGGCGACATGTTGATGTGTGTTTGTGTCTCCCCCGCTCCAGAACACTGCCGACTTCTCCCTCGTCAAGAGCGACTCCGGCGAGATTGTAACAGAGGACGGACGAAGCCGCTGCCCGTTCAACCCCGAGTATAAGTCGACCGCCATCATGGCTGGTAAGGTCGCAGAACACCCGATAGCTGCCCATAAATTGAAGCGTTGTTTGAATCCTTACTGGTGATTTGAGTAAAGGTAAAAGGTGGATGTGGAGACAAAATGAAGACATAACATCTGGATTTCATTAGTGTGGAGGACACAGAAGTTGCTTTTTCCCCTTCTTGGTTACCTCTGTGATTAAATTGGTCTTCATTGCATTGCAGATGGAGAGCTGTATGCTGGCACAGTCAGTAATTTCCAAGGAAATGAACCAATCATCTACAAGAGTCTCAGCCAAGGGACTGCTCTTAAAACAGAAAACTCACTCAACTGGCTCCAAGGTACAGCAAGCTTGACCAGAAATCAATGAAATCAAATATTTGAAGTCCATAATTTGAGATGATCAGAGATTATGTTAATGCAAAGTGTTGACCTACAGTCTGTTAGAGTTAAGCGTGTAGATGTTGGCAGTAAAAGGGACATCTTTTTTTTCCTGGATGACTGAGTTTTATAACCTGTTTTGTTCACGTTGTCCTCCTCTCAGACCCGGCCTTTGTCGGCTCTGCCTACATACAGGAGAGCCTGCCCAAGGGCAACCTCGTGGGCGACGACGATAAGATTTACTTCTTCTTCAGTGAAGCAGGAAAGGAGTTTGATTTCTTCGACAACACCATTGTGTCACGCATTGCTCGCGTGTGTAAGGTGAGTGATGCTTGAAGGCAGATCTTTTCCCCCCCCTTCAGCAACCATCCCTGACTCTCTCTTATTTTACTACAGAAATCTATCAAACGCTCTGTTTCTGTGTTATTGTGGACATTCAGTATCTGCAGTCTTCAGCTCCTTACAGCTCTAATAAGACATGAAGAGCTCAGTCTTTCCGTGCCGTGACGCAGGTTCTTCTCTTGTTACAGAAAAACATTCCTCTTGCATGTTTCCCTCTGTTTGATTCTTTTTCCTCCAGATCCTCTCCTCCCTCAATTCTTATCATGTTTCACCAAATATTTTTGTTCAGACAGAACTCAGTGGCCTGTAAGACTTTGGCAAAAGATCCACGCGAGAAACTTAGTATCCATCACCTGCTGACATTCTTAAACTCAAGGCTTTGAACTCAAATGCAGTTTATTTTCTACATACCATATATCAGGGGTTTTATTAGTTCCTAAAATGTCAGTACATCACAAACCTGTACTACTAATCAAACAGCTGCTTGTCTGAGTGAAAACACTCAAGTTCTTGCTGCCGTTTGATGGCTGCTTAGACTTTGTTTGTCTTTTCAAACTTGTATTTTGATCACAACGTCACAGGTATACATTCGAGAGCCTTTATGTTCTTTATTTTCTTCTCCAGGAGCCTAATGCTGTGTTAGCACTAAATTGTTGTAAGTACGCTGTGTTTAACAAAGCACATGTCAGGATGTATAAAAAATCAGCCTGATGTGAAAATGTGCGGGCCATCCCGGCGCACTCTTGTCATTTGACACTGCCAAATCACAAAGTTCTGAAACTCGCCAGATGCGCCACAATCAGCTGCTTAGGAGATATTAGGCTCAGATCCTCCAGCGTCCAATCCCTGAGTAAGGAACACCTAATAAAATGTGTTTTCTGGCCTCCACATCAGTAACAAGCACCTCAGAATTCACAGTCAGTGAAATTCCTCTTTTTCTCGTTCCTTTTCCAGCATTTTTTGGCCCATAGGTCCCAGCATGTGGCGCATTTATGTAATTTGCATAGTTTTTCAATGGGAGGAGACAGTAAGTACTTTCCCAATTTTGTGAGAAGCTGCAGCCTTTTACACATGAGGCCTCAGGTGTTTGTCTGACAGTCCTCCTGCTGTCACACAGAGGCAGGACTCCACCTACAGTGTTCCAGCTGTGAATCACAGGCATGCAGAAGTCAGACACTGCCCACAGGGTTTATATCGGCCCAAGTGTCATGAAATGATCCACTCAGTTTTTTTTACCACAGATCCAGCTGAGGAAAAATCAGTCAAGTGAACAGAGAGATATGAAAGACCTGACTCAGAGGGTTTTCACACATCAGGTTGAAATATGCACCGAGTTCAAAATATCCTCAGACGGATGACCCATAAGGAAATGAGTAATAATGTGTCACTTTATGGGAGTGTGCCTCCCACCCACATTGAACACGATGAAGCTTTAAAACGTTATGTAAATGCTCAGAGGATATATGGTGTCAGTTTGTTTAGATAACACAATACAGTGATCCCTGTTCAAATACGTTCTTAGTTTAAATCCTCCCTCTCCCTCTCTCTCTCTCTCTTATCCCTTGTTTGACTTGTAATGTTAGCGTCAGCGCTGTTGTTTGTTTATTTAGGTGTTTAGTACACAAGGCTAACTACGGAATGATAAACAAACGTTTTGCAGGAAAACAAGCAGAGCAAAACAAACGCATGTTTCCATTTTTCAGAACTGCTCCGTTTCCCGGAAAGAAGCCACCATGGCCTTCCTGCCATGTTTTGTTTTTAACAAGAAAGGCTTTTTACAAAAGATTAATGAACAGGGTGCATTTGCTTCAATTATTCAGAAGGCAGTTTAAGCACAGAGTGGCATTAAATTATAAAAGTAGGTTTAGCTGGGAGGACTGGAGAACACGCTGCATGTTGCTCATTATCTGCCCGGGTTAGTACGATAAGTAATTGCTTCAGAAGCTCGGCGTTGGTCATGTGTCATTTCCCTTTCCATCGAGTGCTGCCATTTTCCTTTTTGATTAATGTGAACACTAAAGTGGACTCAAGTGAAGATTGATGAAGCACGGGGTTTTGGGTAGTTCACATCAGTTAGTGTTTCTCTTTTCTGCATTTCACATTTTGAAAACGACTTATTCCTCCTAAGAGGCAACTTTCATCTCGGTAGATCTACACCAGTGAGGGGTAATAGTAGAAAATATTACCATGACCTGAGGCTGTACACTGTGAGACACTGTAGGTGGTTCAGCATATCATCCTCCATTTGAATATTCTGGTTTCTTAGTTTGTGTCGGAAAATCATCTGCAGTCACCTTTCTGAGCGCTCTTTGGACTGTTTTGCATTCATCACAAATTGTGACTGCATTAAAGATGTTGTTTCTCTCCATTTACCACAGATATACTCATACTCTTTACACTTTACTCTTTTACACTTTACTCATAGTTTTTCTTTTTATATCTATTTATATCTGCACCTATTTGATTTTTTATATGTAAATACATGCTGCTGTTTTTTATCCTGCACTACAACGAGCCAAATGCAACAAAATTTCGTTCTTATCTACACTGTAAAGTACAAGTTTGAATGACAATAAAGAAAGTCTAAGTCTAAGTCTAAGTCTATATATCCTTTAGTACAAGTTTTTAAGCCAAATTAGTCTCTCCATTGTCAAGGAGGCCCGGTGTCAGTTATCATTTTTAAGGCTTGTTCCAACATCACAGCACAATTAATCGTTAAAATCTTTTTTCTGTTTCATTTAAAAATATTTAACTTCACAAAGTTTTAAAGGCTTTATATGCTGATATCTTGATCCAGCAGATGTCACCCTTGAGCACCTGCATGAAACCAAAACAACTCGCGCTGCATTGTTGTGTTAGCATGCTCATGCTAGCGATCTTTATTATGCTGGTATCTTCACACTTCATGTAAATTTACCTGAAATGAGCGTGATCTAGAAACACAGTTAAGCAGTGAGTACAGTATGTTATTCTTCTTTTCTCTAGTCCCTCAATTAAACAACTTTTATACACGAGGGGAGGAGTCAGCCGGCCGTCCGGGCGATGTAAACAAAGTGAAGATAGGACTCTGAAAACTCTAAAAACATCACAGACAGTGGGACTCGGGTGTTACACCCATTGTAGACAGTCATGACTCACAGAGTTATTTTCAGAGGATATTCTTGATTTCTACATTTAAGTGTGAAAAAATTGTATAGAAAGCCTTTAAAGTGTTTTGTAGTCCAAGCCAGCTGAGGTGATCGATGTTGTTTTCACAACATAAAATCTGCTGCCTCATGGTAAACTGTTGATATATCTTCTATATTTCAGTATTGATAAATGCCTACTCTGCATTATTTTCCCAATAACACTTAATCATACAGTATGTTACTGTATTCTATTCTATGGCAACATACTGCATGATGTACATCATTATTTCATGCCTTTTACAAGCCTGTCAGATCCCATCAAATCAGGTTTTTTTTCCCAGATGTATTTTCAACATCATCCCCTCTCACAGGTGTCAGACTGATATTCTTGCACCCTCTACTGGCCGCACACGGAACCACCGCTCTAAACTCCTACAATGTCTTGTGTTGCAGGGCGACGTCGGAGGAGAGAGGGTTCTGCAGAAGAAATTTACGACCTTCCTAAAGGCTCAACTCTTGTGCTCTCTGCCTGACGATGGCTTCCCTTTTAACATAATCCAGGACATGTTCGTGCTGACACCCAGCCCAGAGGGGTGGGAACACACCGTGTTTTATGGAGTCTTCACGTCTCAGTGGTGAGGACAAGACTTCCCTCTGCTTTGATTTATACATCAACTCATTTTGTATAGTGAGACCTTCACATGTTGAGTAAATGGAGAACACGCGTATTAGAAATGTCTCTTTGTCCGTGTTATTTTATACAAAATGCATATGAGGCTCTACAGAAGCTGCCTTCAAGGACACCAGGGTCCTCTAGTAATGTGGTCATTTTTAGTTAATGAATGAAGGTTGATCAGCAGTTACACATGAGCAATTACATACTTGATGTGTTTTTGAACGGGTGATTAGAATTTATTTTCTATATATCATTAAAGTGGACTACTTCTGGCTATAAAATAGAATAAAACAAAACCACAATTACATACATAGCCATGTTAGTGAATGCTTTAAATCATTATTTAGACCTAGATTTGGCAGGCTCATTTATCTATATTATAAAAAAAGTTTCATTTGAATAAAAAAATGTTTTTCTCTCAATACTTAAAGGGTCATGAAGAAAGAGGGGTTCTTTTAGGAGGGGATTCTAGCTATGATGTTTATTCACAGGGACCATATACAAACACATTCATCATGAATGGGAGAAATGAGGAGTATTTTGTATTGAGGCTGCTACTATTGTGCTGTTCAATATGAGCAGTAATTTTAAAAAGAAGACACTCTTAATACAGTGGTTTTGAGACTTTGAGTAGAAAGTGTTCTCCTCTCTTGAAAGGCTCTAAGATCATGATGAAATTATATGATTTATTAGTATTGAGAGGAAGCTTGATTTTTGTCTCATCAGGTATAAAGGTGCTTCAGGAAGCTCTGCAGTTTGTTCCTTTACTATGGATCAGGTGGAAAAAGCATTCAGTGGGCGATACCGTGAGGTCAACAGGGAGACTCAACAGTGGTATACGTACAACCACCCGGTGCCAGAGCCTCGACCTGGAGTGGTGAGTAGTACCCTCCTGCTGCCCTCTGCTGGAGATGGCAGTACTCTGCAGCCATGTCATGTCATAGATGCATGCAGGAGATTCAGATATCTTTTTCTGATTTTTTTTTTAATCAAAAACATGAAATATTAAAAGTGCTTTGCTGCAACAATTGATGTCATCATCTAATGTGAGGAAACATATCCCCCTCCACAGTGCATCACAAATGCCCTGAGGGAACAGGGCATCTCGTCCTCGCTGCACATGCCCGACAAGGTGCTGAACTTTGTCAAAGACCACTTCCTGATGGACAGCGTCATCCGCAGCCAGCCTCTCCTGCTGAAACGTAATGTCCGATACACGCAGATAGCCGTCCATCGAGTCAAGGCTGCAAAGAAGGCATACCACGTGCTCTTCATCGGCACAGGTACATCTACTCTAACAATCAATCATAGACACCTGCATCAACACCCCTTTTTTAGTTTAATCTAATTCAGGTCATTTTTTCTGTCTTGTAGACGATGGCAGGATTCATAAAGCGATTAACGTGAAGAACAAGATGCACATCATCGAGGAGATGGTTCTCTTCAGCAATTCCCAACCGGTGCAGCACATCGAGCTGGACACTGAAAAGGTACGGGCAGAGTGTACAGAGCGAGGAAACGTGCCCGACTTGTTTTACAGAGTGTACTCTCATGATGTGATCTGATGACAAGCTGAGTAAACTCATTTATTGGCAGTTTAGAGATTCCATGAGCCATGAAGAGTCGGAGCCTAAAGCAGAGCTCATGTTCAATGAGATAATTACATCCAACTGTCTCTCTCAGGGGATCTGCAAACAGCTGGGTTTAAACAGCTGGGACTGTAGCTTTTTTCTGTTGTACTTTTGGGCCAGAATAAATACTAACAACGGTTATCAGAAAAAAGGCTAAGTTTGCCGTTTTTAGATCAGGATGAGACAGACAATATTCCCGGTGAATCATGTAACTCTAACTGTATTTGGGGAATTGTCTCCCCCCCACCTCCCCCTGCTTCTGCCATCTCTCCTCCACAGGGCCGGCTTTATGTTTCCTCTTTCTCTGAGCTGGTTGATGTCCCAGTAGCTAACTGCACAAACTATCAGAGCTGCGGGGAATGCGTCCTCTCCAGGGATCCGTACTGTGCCTGGAATGGGAGGCAGTGTGTGGATGTCAGACAGGCCGCTCCTAGCAAGTATGCATCCCTCTTGTCGATTCATCTACACACAGTTTAAGTAAAAAAAAACATTCCTAAAAGATGTAAACCACAGATGGTAAGAGCATTTCAAAATTGTTGTTTCAGTGCCTGGCAGCAGGATGTTGACGAGGCAGACACATCGGCTATTTGCAACAAGACAGTGCCAAGCCCACGGTTTGCTAAACCTCCACCTACACGTAAGTGACCTCCTCCTCTTCTGTTGGCTGTGGTAGATTTCCAAAGCAGCTCTGTGCTTGGTTTAAGCATGCTTTGCATCCCAGTTCAAATCTTGATCAGATATATATTCTTGTGGGACGCTGGTGGCGCTGTGGTTAGTGCACGCGTCCCATATATGGAGGCTATAGTCCTCAACGCGGGCGGCCCGGGTTCGAATCCGTCCTGTGGCTCCTTTTGTCGCATGTCAATCCCTACTCTCTCTCCCATCTCTATCCACTGTCCTATCTCTCCAATAAAGGCACAAAAATCCCCCAAAAAAATCTTTAAAAAAAAAAAAAAATTATTCATGCATCAAAGTACAATTACTCTGAATACTGAACTTGAGATGATGCTACAGATTATTAAATGCAGAAACCTGACATGCATCTATGCCTCTGCTCTGCCTTCCTCACAGGACCATCTTCATGCCAGGTGATTATTATCCCGGCCAACACGTTCAAAGTGCTGCCTTGCAAGCTGCGCTCTAATCTGGCCGAGAGGAAGTGGCAGTTCAGTGAGAGCGCAGGTCACTTCCACTACCCCAGCCCAGAGGGGGGGCTGGTCGTCGTGGCTCAGGCTGACAGGCAAGAGAGCTACGAGTGCTGGTCAGTGGAGGAAGGCTTCAAGCAGCTGCTGGCAAACTACTGCGTGAGGGGCGAGGCCAAGCAGGAGAGCACCACCCTGACGGGCCGCTCGCACGCGCCGCACGTCTCCCAGGAGGAGTTCTTCATCCTGCCGGGGAAGGCGCGCTCGCCGCAGATCAACACAAAGACCTACTGGAACGAGCTGATAGTGGTGTGCGCCCTCTTGGCGTTCTCCCTGCTCGTCTTCTCGCTGTTCGTGGTCTACAGGCACCGCGACCACATGAAGTCCATACTCAAGGAGGGAGAGTGCCCGAACATGCAGCAGAAGAAGCCCAGGATAGTCGTGGGGAAACCCGCCGAGAACTTGCCGCTGAACGGCAGCGCGGTCACAACGTCCGCCTCGGACCACAAAGGGTACCAGACCCTTAACGACAACTACATCTGTAGCACGCCGCCGCATGAGTGCTCGTCGCCTGAGAACAGCAAGAGCTTCTCGGAATCGGAGAAGAGGCCTCTGAACTTGAAAGAGAGCCGCGTGGAGATCTCTCCCACGTGCCCGCGGCCACGAGTCAGACTGGGCTCTGAGATTAAAGACTCGATAGTTTGAGACATGACTTCATGTAATGTGGAGCGACGCATTTTCAAAACTGAAAGGAAAGGGTGCACTTGATGAGAAAGACACAAAAAATGAGGGGACCCTGAGGAGCACCCTGAGGAGCACCAGGCTCTTTGTGGAGAGATATTTCATTACACAGATTTTGCACTTTTTTTTTTTGTTCTATCCCCGTGGTCCATGTACATTTCTTATTGTCCTCTCACTCCCTCTTACTGAGTGCATTCGAAAGCGCACTGAAGAAGTTCCAGTTTGCCTCCAGACTTTTTTTTTTCCACACAGCTCACAGGAATGTATCAAGCGTAGGGTTGTAGGTGGCCTGACCATGATTCAGTGATGGGATTTCACAGCATTTGCCAACCAGTCCGTCCATCAATTAAAATCTACTGGCAGTTGCTTTGAAAGCCCAGAGTGAGATTCAAGCTTGTTTCTAACTAACAGCTGATGCAGTGTTTGCCGTGTTATTCCCCTTCTATCATATGGTAAGAGCCCTACCCTATCGCTGAGGCTATGCACTATGTACTTGTTCTGTAGCAAAGTAAACACTCACACCAAAATATACAAAACAATCCAGTGGCAGGAAGGACGGGGAGGAAAAAAAATGTCATGACATAGATTTTTAGAGAGCCTGTGTGTATTCACAGATATACTTATTGTTAAATATAACACTTCAACGAGAAATAATACAGAGCAAAAGAGCATTAGGTAAAAACACACATATAAGTAATCACCTCAGAGGACATGTTGTAGAAACTCTTACCACTTTAATCACTACACACACCAAAAAAAAACCTATGTAGGTAGATATGAAAACAGTTTTCTTTTTTTTTTTTTAGTATTGGTATTATGAGCTGGTAGAAGACTCGACTTTCTGCAAGGTTTTTTTTTGTTATAAATGTTATAAAGGAAAAAAATCTCATTCCAGGTATTATCTTGAGATAGGCAGTCTATGCAAAGCAAACAATGTGAAGTGGAGGCAAACACCATGACATCCTCTCCTCGAGACTGAGTTAGCTTACACACACACACACACACACACACACACACACACACACACACACACACACACACACACACACACACACACACACACACACACACACACACACACACACACACACACACACACACACACACACACACACACTAACTCTAAGTATGCAAGAGGCTCTAGCCATTTCCTGGTGTTCTAGGGAGAACGACACAAGACATTTTTCATTGCAACATTTTCAGACGAAGTATAATCAACATTTGAATACTGCACCTACTCATTATTTGACATAAATAGCCTAACAAACATCTATATAGCATCAACTTGGAAAAACACATGAACTGGTGAGAGCTAAGTATGGCAGAAATGCCCTCTGCTTACTTAAATGATCTTAAAGGTAACTGTAAAAGGCAATAATAATCACTGTCATCCCCATTATTAAACATCATCTTGATTAACCATCTCATGTTCCAGAAATAATAAAACCATCAAATCCAAGCGATTCATGAGTCAGATGTTAAGAGTAACTTTAAAGCATTTTGTCATTACTATGGAAGTCTTATTTCAGTTTGGCTGTGCAGCCTTCAAAATTCAAATCTCACAAAACAAAAAGCAGGAAGGAGTACTTGCTTTGACTCAGAATGCATTCGATTTGCACATGATGCTGAAAAGCCTTAGTATAATGCAGGTTCTGGGTTTGATAACAAATCTGCCTTGAGGTAAATGAATAATGCCTTCTGAAATAATAATAATAATCAAGAGATTTGCCTCTTGGGATTGTTAAACCCACCAGGTAGTCGTGCTGTGGAGTCGAACACTACACTTCAGGTGTGACAGGAGGACCGCTCGCGCTCAGACACGAGAGTGAAAACGTGGAACCCACGTCGTTGAATACTGTCAAGATTGTACTGTATGGCTTCATGAGGGGGTTTTATTTGATCTTTTGTTATGGTGGCTTCAACATCTGTCAGGGATGAGATTTTAAAAAATGTAGCACATAAATAACCACTGGTGGATGTTTTTTTTAAATATTGGATTAAAGATAAGCATAAGTATTACATTACATTTCTTTTAATGGCACTGCAAAAATGACTTCTGTGTGAATTTCAAAGACTGGCCACTTATAATCAACGCCAGGGTCAAGAAACACTCATGCTCTGACTGTTATTAAAAAAAAACAAATGGCAGCTTTTTGTGAAGTGGCGCTCATCGGAACAATTACTCAATTGACACGCAGAACAAAATATTTAGTGGCATTGATTTTTGAGTGAAATACGCGCAGGTATTGAACATGCTTTTATTTGAATACAAGCCTAAAAAAAAAAATAACGCCCACCATGAAAGTATTGTCGTCTGCTCTCTCTTAATAAAAACCACTGTAGTCTGGCCTTCTATTTGTGACAGTACAAGTTGCTCAGACTTCTTATCAACATGTATTGTAAGTAAAAAAAGAGTTTTTATGTAAAAAAAAAAAAAAAAATGTTTTGTAAATTCAGCTGCCAAAATATTGTGAATTGTATTTTTTTTGTATCATACATCACTACTGTTTTTTCCTCTTTTTTTTGTATTGTATATAAAAAGCACTTTATTTTAATTTTTCAAATAAAGATCAAATGGATAATTTTCTATTTGAATGACTCGTGATTTTAAATACGTGGAAAATTCTAACATGCAATGCTTGGGTAAGATGTTGATGTTTTTTTAGGTTTTATTAGCAGGCAACCTATTTCACTATTTAATCTTTTAGGGTGGAGTCAGACAAACTCTGCAAAGGGGAACTAAGAGGAGTGTCTGATAAAACTGTCACATGCACACACCTTAAAGGCAAATAGAGCCACTTGCGTATCTGTTATATTGTATTTAAGTTCACTTACTGATGACATCTCTTCTGGATTCATCCAAATAAACGACGGTTGCTATGACAGCAGGTAGAAAGTGGGACATTGGGTCCACCTGTTCGGACGATACCCGCCTACGTGGAGACATGGACCAATCAGCGCCTCTTTAGCACCTATGTAAAAAAAAAAAAACCTTCATTGAAAGTTGAACACAGGATTTTATTTGAGTCGTCACGCAGCTGAAGTTTGGTTATCGGATTTTACCGTCACATTTTATCACCTTTGCATGTTTTTTTTTTAAAACATTTAATTATGGACAGACCAAGCCTCCGCAGACTGTTTTCTGCGTGTGATGTGAACAAGTCCGGTAAGATAGAGTACGAGGACTTCTGCGTTGTCTGCCAGGAGCTAAACGTCCCCAAAAGTGAAATACAAACCCTGTTCGACAAATTCGACGAGGACCGAGACGGCTCCATCACCTACAGCAAGTTTTCGTCCAGGTTTCGGGAGGTTTCGGAGACTCTTAACTTGGCGTCTTTGGACACCACCGGGTCGACCAGTTACCCGAACAGTCCGTGGGGAGAGTTCCTGTGCAGGATAGATGCCGAGGAGTCCGTCGTCTCTGAAAGGTAGAGTAACATCCGGGCGCTCACTCCATGTTGAGCAGGATTCAGCAGCCAGCCAGCGGCTACTGGGACGTTTGTTTACGTCAGTAACCAACACCTTACGTCAATAGCTGCGGTCCATTTGAACATTATTTATTGGCGTTTTTTTGATACGCCGTACAGAAAAGCTACACATTGTTGGCTATAATATGATGTGACCTATAGATCACAAATGGAATAAAACGTTGTTTAAGGTTAGATAGTTCAGCAGTATTTTATTTTTTTATTTTTTTTATTATTATTATTATTTTTTATTATTATTTTTTATTATTAATTTAACGTTGACATACTTGATAAAGTAGCCTACACTTATATTTCACTAACAGTTTACCACAACGGTCTCCAGGCAAAATGAAACCACATTTTTCAAGGTTCACTTTTTGCTTATTATAGGCTCTGTTGTCATGGTGATAGTTGTGTTGGCCCCTTTCTAACATTACAATATTTACGGTCTGTGGTTACAATATGTGCTACTTGTTGTCATGAAAAATAAGAAAATTCCTTTGAGTAGGCTTAAAAATATTAGCTGTTGTTGTTGTTGTTGTTGTTGGCAAACTCACGTTAATACCTTGATTAAGCTAACTTTTAACTTAAAGAGATAGTCATTTAGTCAAAGTAAATACACCTCTGTGGAAGATATTAAAGAAATGGAAAGAATTACATATAGGCTAAGAAACAGAGAAGATGAATTCATGTGTTACTGGAGTAAATGGATAAAGGAAACAGATAAAGTGGAATAATAACAGGTATGTAAATTAAATTATATTAAATTAAGAGAGTAGTGAAGGAACAACCCCCCCCCTCCCCCTCCCTCATTCTATTTACGGTTTTATTTTTTTATTTTTTTTATTTTTATTTTTATTATGATTAGTATTATTTTTTCTTTCTAAATCTTAATTGAATTATATTTTCTCTATTCGTACCTTTTCTTTGGATTTTTATCTATTTTTATTTTATTTCATGTTGTATGTATTCTTGTATGTTTAAAAAATGATATATAAAAATGTGCCAGGATGACCAAAATGTCTGATGAAATATGACAACTTGTAATGAAGTAAAACAGCCTGCAATAAAGTATTTAAAAAAAAAGAAGGAAATACACCTCTCATATAGGCCTCATATAGGCCTCTTATAGGCGTTTAACTAACATAGGTCTAGTATTGCCTCTTCGTAAATAATTATGTCGTTGAATCGAGTTTTGTTTTTATTGCCTTCATGAAAGGAGGCTTTATTGTAGCCTGGAGTAGGCCTACCAAATGACTGGAAACTAAGTGCTTTATTGTTAAATGGGCCTTTTTAAATTCACTTAGAAGTGACCAAGACTAGAAGGTAGGCGACGAACAGAGAAAGCAACTCTTGAAGTAATATTAAAACTAAAGGAGTGGGAGAGAGAGCTCATAATCATTAACCAGAGTTTTATATTTCTATGTAAGTTAATAGAGCAGAAGGTTAATTATTTACAATGAAACTAAAAAGTAAACAAGTTGTAAGATGAAATATATGTAAGATGAAGTGTTTTTTTTCAGACCTTAAAACATACGAACTGGAGAAAGTCTGATTCATATATCTTCAGGTCATATCCGTATCAGTTGATAAATGAACTGTTTGCACGTCTACCTGTGGCTGAGCCAAACATGTGATTGTCTAATGATGATCCTTAAACACACAATCACATTATTTGTTTAATAAAAGGTTGTCCCTTTCTCAGTATTTAATGCCGGGTTAAGACACAGTAGACCTTATACTTATTAATCTAAATAAAAACTTTTGTTTGACGTTATGAACTGGTTAGGGAGTTGTACAATAAATTGTGTTGTGACCCACTGTTGAACTACTTCCTACATTGGCCTTCAAGCCCATGAGGGTTGAGTCTGTGACACAAGAAAGATACACTTTTGGGTGGTGTGTGATCACTGACCCGTTCACTGCTGGTAGTAACTATATTTGTTCTCCTCCTTCAGTCTCAAGGAGCAGCTGGCCGAGCTTTACCAGTCCATTCACACCTCTGCAAACATGACTGTGCTGCAGCAGTACGAGGAAATCATCCACTCTCTGCTCAGTCAAAGTCTGGACAGCAAGCTGGAGTGTGAACAGCTGGAGACCAGCTTAAAGCGGTAAATGCAAACCTCAGCTTTTTCAGCTTGTTTAAATGCTTATTAAAAATAATTCTACACTAAGTATAAGGACATGGTAATCAAATAACGCTCAAGTTGTGAGAACATCAGTTGTTGGGGTTCACCTCTCAGAATAGTCCTTTCTAAATCCAGGTGTGAATGCTTGTTTTGACTACACTGCTGTGATCGACTGCTGCCCTCTTGTGGCTGTAAACCATATAGACAATAAATAAACCCTGCCACTGACTCCAGTGCATCGACTAACTGCTTGACATTTGTTTGTGATTCTGTGTAAAGAGCAATCCCATGAGTATTCTATTTAGATTTAATATTAGAAACATTGAATATATAAGCAGTTATGGCTGTTTAGACGACACTGTAAACTGGCTAACTAATAACTGAACTGAGATTAATGTGGAAAGAAATGAAAGTGTACCTGGGGATTGATTACCTTAACTGCAGCCAGTGGCATTAAGTTTTCTGAAGTTGTCAACATCTTAGAGGCTTCAATACTTTGTCTTAAAATGAAACACTCTTTTACTTTAATGACGGTTTGGAAATGTATTGAAACAAAACCTTCAGATATTAAGTCGTATTTTTAACCAAATGCTGCTGTGAGCAGAAGAGAATGAGCTCTGTCTCAAATGCACAAATAAGTTAGCCAGTGGCCACGTTTCTTTCTTTGGTCTATTTTCAAAGAGTGTTTTGCTGGAATTTGTGTTCATTCTTTTCTGTAATTAAAGAAAAGAAATGAGCCAGTATTGGGTGTAGGACTTGTCATTTTGTTGCTGCAGTATCACAACTGGTGTCAGCATCATTTGAATTTTACTATTATCCTATCAAGTTTAAATATCTGGTATCAGATCAACCTTATTCCATCTCATTCTCATTATATTTCAGGGATGCCTGAAGGAAACGTCTTCAGATTTTTTAATAAATATCCCATTTGACTCGATGATGAACTGATTTGAACAGGGTGGTCAAAGTTCTTAGTCACAAGACTTAGCTGAAGAATTCATAATCTATTAGGGGCAAAATGCTCGAACACACGTCAGGCAGCAATTGGTGAATTGTTGATATGTTATAAACAGAAGGTCAACTCCACTGTGACATCATGTCTTTAAACACTTTTCTGGCACAACTTAATAACTCATGAAACATGAAAGGAAATCCTGCTGACCATATTCCACTTTTGGTCAAATCGTGTATGGGTGACACTAACGGGTGCCAACCTTTTGAGTCTGTGGTAATTGTCCAGATTTTGTGCAGTGTGAGGTAGTTTGTGAAGCACAAGGCTGAACAACTTTGTCTACTGACATGGCTAGAATTTATATTTTTAAGACGCTTTTAGTGACTGAAATGTGTCATTTCTTTGTGTTTCTCCAATCGAGCTAACACACTCTTTGACATACTGCAGAACAAGAACAACAAATATTAACAAATTCAAATGATGTACACTGAATATCCTCAGGAAGATCTGTTTGCGCTATTCCTTCCTGAGAAGTCCTCAGTGTTTTGAGTCCAATCCTGTTGTTTATGGATTTGAACCATAAAGTAATATGTGAATCCTCTAATCTCATTTCCTCTCGCTGGATGAAAAGCAGGACAGGGAGCCTGCTGTTCATCTCCACCAATGGCTCTGATAAAGATTGAGCTTCAGGTGATAATCATACCAGCATGTGACGCAGGCAGCGCTCTATCACTATGTACACAAGTGAAGAGTGTATGTGTGGAAAGTATTCAGTGGAGTGATACATTTTAACATAGTGATGACTCCAGTTTGACAAGACAGTGCATTTTTATACATTTTGGTAAACTCCCCTAAAGTCTACATCACAAACCCTACATGAGGACTTATTGGTTTGTAGACGGAAACTGAAGGAGTTGTTAGAGGCATAATTCCATTTTGAATTGAAGGCAGGACAGTGAAGGAGATGCTCTTAAAAAAGTGGTCCTGTTTAGCACATTTTCATATGGCCAGTTACTGAAAAAAGTCAAGAGTCAAGGTGCCATTTTATAAAAAAGAATCATAACGAGTGATTACAGAGACGAGTGAGTATTAACAAGATACAGAAAAAGGAGAAACATTATTCCTCTCAGGACACGTCTTGAGATCCTGAATGTTTGGTTTGCAGCACATAAAAGATGCCTGACTAAAAAAATAATAATTTAAGATTGATCAGAGTGGTGACTTACAGCACTGTAATATAAACTGCTGCTCGTGTGTCAAAGACTTAAAGAACGTTTGATTTCACTCTATAATGATTACCTTTAAATCTATCTTATTATCCGTCACATAGAACCTTTACTTAACTGTTGAATTTTCAGTATTTCACGTGGGAGAGAACGTTGTATCTGAACTATTTTTTTTCTTTCTTTGTTTCCTTCTCCGGTTCAGTTACGGCTCAGAATGAGAAAGGTGACATTCCTTGTATGAGGAAGTAGGAAAACTTAAAAAAAAAAAAAAAACGGGCCTGTCTTGTTTTTGTTTTAACCCCTTAACAAACTGGCCACCTCTCCATCGATCTATTGTGTTTATATTTTCACCCCCTGGTGATTGAATTCAATTCTTATCTTGACATAAAACTTAATAACATGTGGGGCACTTTAGAGAAAAACTGACTCAGTGATTCCACATGCGGAGTCTGCTTTTCTAATGCTGTTTCTTTCCACTCCCTCCACTCCGGTTGGGTCACATGTTGCCTGACGAGAGAGCAGGACAGTCACAACTGTAGTGAAATCTAGTCTGTTAGAATTGGCATATGAACAGGAGGCATTTCTTTGTGTCTTTTTGTTGAAACAGAGCCGAGGAGATGAACAACAGTCAGCTGACAGAGCTGGAGGAGGATATACAGCAGCAGCTTGCCAGGACAGAGGAGAGGGTGAGAGGCGAGGTGAGTGTTTCAAGTGGATGAAGCCAAATTTCCTCAATAGACAGTAGACAAAGCAAATAGACTAAAAAGGACTATACATTTAAAGTTCAACTTTCTACACGTTCTGCGTTTGATTCCCGTGGGTCTACCTGTGTCTTTGTTGTGCAGCAGATTGCACATCTCTCTCTGCACAAAGAGCCTCTGTAGAGTCAGATGAAAAGCCTCTCTCTTAAGGCTCGCAGCCAGTCCGCCGCACCCCTCTCACTGCTTTGGTTTCATGTGTTGCAGGAGCGCAAGAAAATGGAGGGAATTTTGGCCACCATGCAGAGGAAGCACCAGAACCAGATCACAGACTTGCACGCAGCTGTGGATCGACTGTTGAAGGTGGGTTTCCCCCACACGTCATGAATTTTGTATTTGAATTTGAAATGGGACGATGCAATTTAACGTAATTTCAATACAGAGTATGTAACTGATGTGCTGCATTAAGAGTATATAGCTATTGCTAATCTCCAACTCATGTGCCCGGTTGGGCCTTTGTGTAAACAAAAAGATTAAAATGTACAACATTGAGTTACATAAAACCCCATAACACCATATGAGGAGACACTCAAATACATATACATGTACAACAATACAAATGCTATAAACCAGTTTAAAATAAAGTTTTAAGGTACAGCTCTGGCTTGCTTTGAGCATTTCACCTGTTTTGTAAAAGATTTTAAGTCCGAGATTAATTTTATTTCAGGTGGTAATGTGTTCCAGAGTTTACAGCCTTTGATGGAGAAGGCTGACTGACCAAACGTAGATCTACAGTTTCCATTCACAGTGCTTCTTGTTACCCTGTTTCCGCCCTGTCTTTGAACATGTCTTTACTTTGTGCCTCCACAGTTTGAATGAAGATGGCCTTGTGTTTTTTCTCTGTATCGTTAGTGAGAGTGAAGAAAGCAACTCTATCTGAAACACAATACATGAGCTCTTACGCATGCAGCTCTGACTAAATATCTGAGGCTTTCAAATTCCTCACATTTTTTGGAAATCACCTTTCATAATGGATTTTAAAAGACCGCACATCTTGCTCGCTGGTAGAGTATATTCAACGTTAATAAACATGTCAGGATCTATTTGAGGAAAACAGACAACAGAAGGGGGTCTGAAACTTATCTCAAGTTTCCCCCCACAGTAATTCTAGTTAAAAAGTGTCTTTGTTGCAGCCAGGGGAGAGGGACAGCCAGGAGTTAGTGCTGGAAGCTGCTGCCTGGTCTGGTGTCTCTTAATTATCTTTAAAGCACCAAACAGACTGTTTGTGTTTTGGCAAGCTCATCAACAGACTGCGCAGTGCGTCGCTCTTTCTCTCTCTCATTAAAAGTCTTTGTAGATCACCCATCGAGGATCTCTCTCTCTCTCTCTCCCTCCCAGCTATCAATTAAAGAAATTCATCCAGATCATCAAAGCAAGAGGATTGTCTTGGTCTGTACCATCTTTAGTGTGTTTTCACTAAAAGAGCAGCATGCTTCACTTAGGTGTCAATTAAAATATCAAAAGTTTGCAGGTGATAGAAGATGATAAAAGAAAAGAGTCACTACTTCAGGTTAGAGGCCCGGTCAAAATGGATTTCCTGCTGCTGCGCCTGAAAGTAATCATAAAGGAGATGTGTCCGTCAGTGTTGGAGCCGTGGATGGATCTATATTGAGTAGGGGGATAGCGGGTCACAGGGGTACATGGGTGCACACCAATTCAAATGAATAGTAGGGGAAACACTGTGAATGTATATGTGGTCTTTTTTTCTCAACAGCTTTAAATAACATGAAACAAAAGACAAGTCAGCAGAATAATCTTGTTTAAAGTTAAATGTCTGTTGGATATTTGTCAGTTTATAATCTAATTTTAGATTGTAGGTTATTACTGACACGGGGCTTCTGCATCTGCAAGAGGGCACAAATTGTCATTTTTAAATCAATAAAATATTTAATAGCACTTTGTTGGTTAATACGCAGGAATAGACATAACTTAGGATACATTTTTAGTATTCAGCAGTAAGTACGCTGAAACTAACATGAAAGTTTAAAAAGTAACAAAAAGGAAAATCCTTATTCAATTATGTGTTTGTTGTTTATTTTTCTATTAGTTGGGCTACAATTTACACACGTGCATTTCTAGCTGAGCCTGCCCTTGTTTTTTTAGCCAGTAGATAGAACCACATAAATAATGAAAATAAATCCCTGTGAACTGGTCTGTTTATGATTACTGTTTGTCCTCCAGAGCCAAGAGGACTCCGATTTCAACGAATCAAAGGAGGAGATGACCCGACTGAACAGACACATCAGCAATCTGAGCGAGGTAATAAGGAGTTCTGGTTTTATTCAATGTTTATTCATGTTTTTGTATAGAATTGTTTCTGTTAATCACACTTTCTCCTCAAAAGGAAAATGAGCAGCTGCGAGGGTCTCTGCTGCAGGCCCAGACAAACATCGCCATCCTGCACTCAGACCTGGACAAGCTGAAGAACATGTATGCAGACCAGAAAGCTCAGCATGACAGGTGAGGCAGCATCTCTAAGATCACGTCAGGCATAACACCAAAACATAATCCAGGAATAAGATCAGCAGCACAACATGTTACTTGTATTTCTTGGCAGAGAAACAGAAGAACTGAGGAGGATGACTGAGGAATACCAGTCCTACTCCAGCCAGATTCAGGTTCTCCAGTATGTCTGTTTTTCACAACATCTTTTTTTATCTGCTGTGGACGTTTAGGGAGGGGGTTTCATGAAGAAAAGTCACTTCAAGTCCAATTTAAAACCCTTCAGTAACACCCTCTTTTACAAATGTAATTATAAAAATAATGAACAGTTGTATTTATGTTCCATTGAAAACCTTCACATGTTCATTATATTTCTAGATATTCTAATTATCTTGTGAGTTAAAAACATGTATAAGTGCTTGTATTAGCTTATTAAAGTAAAAATAATGGGAGGTTTTACACACATTTAAAATGTATTTTTGCTGTTTGTGTGAACTACTCCTTTAGTTCACAAGGTTTCAGTATTTAGAGGACGATCATGAGGTAAACTTAGTCAACTCTTGAATACCTAGTGGTGTCTTTATTGTAAATGTTTGCTTACTCTGCAGCCTGGAGTCCATCCAGCTGTAAAATGTAAATGTCACTGCACTTATCTGGCCCTGTCTTCTTGTTCTTCCTTGAATCCATAATTAGGGAAATGAACAAAAACCTGTATGACAGTAACGACGGGCTGCGCTCTGCTTTAGCCACTGAAGCCGTTGCAGCTAAAAGGAGGGTAAGTCACTCTTTCCTCACCCCCCCTCCGGTTTTACAGAACATCAGATAAAAGCTGACAGTAAATTGTTTTCCACTAGTTCCAAGTGTAAAGTTTCCTACCTGACATTCCTAATCTGCTCAGCAGCTGTCGCCGCAAAATGAAATCCCCGCCCGGAGGATGAAACCGCTCCGACAGAGCACACTCAACCAGGGCAGGTATAGAAAGTTTTGTACACACCTCTGTGGATCTGCAGATCGATCTCAGCGAGTTAAATTGTCACTACTGAAGCCAGTGTTGTTTTCTGATCTGTGTGCAGCTCAGAGCTGGATTCAAGCAAAACCACCTACTCTCACGTGGCCTCCTGGGCTGATAAGTACCTGGACAGCGGCGTGGCCCTGCCGATGGAAACGACCGACAGCGCAGGCAGCGATTACGACAGCGAGGACAACGGGAGCCTGCCAGAAACTGTTCACCACAGTTACTCGTGTGCCCCTTCCGATGTGGAGGTCAGAATGGATTCAAAGGGTCCTGACAGAAAACTCAAAACGTGCTGTTGAGTTGTAACTTTAAATGAGTGTTTTCTTTCTTCACAGATATCAGAAGTGAAATCTGAAGCTGCTCTCTCTGTGACTCCAAGTCGGGCGAGCTCCATTGCATCATCACTGCGAAGACGTCTGTCTGCATTTTCCTCAAAGGTAACACGGCCTCTTGCAGGAAGCAGTGGTTTTATGAGAACCTCTTTAAGTCTCAGTTAAAAATAGAAAACATTTGATCATTTTTTTGTTCTTTTGAAGACTGTCAGAGGCTCTAAACCCTTTTTGTTTTGTGACACCTTTAAATAAAACATTTCAGGTCTTTAGTCATTTTAGAAGTAAGTTGCAGAAATATGTATCTCTCACACTGACTCTGAAACTCTTAAAGTCTTTCTATGTGATTTTTCACTCTTAAATATAATAGAAATCAAGTATATCCTCTGAAAATAACTCTGTGAGTCATGACTGTCTACAATGAGTGTAACACCCGAGTCCCACTGTCTGTGATGTTTTCAGAGTTTTCAGAGTCCTATCTTCACTTTGTTTACATCGCCAGGACGGCCGGCTGACTCCTCCCCTCATGTATAAAAGTTGTTTAATTGAGGGACTAGAGAAAAGAAGAATAACATACTGTACTCACTGCTTAACTGTGTTTCTAGATCACGCTCATTTCAGGTAAATTTACATGCAGTGTGAAGATACCAGCATAATAAAGATCGCTAGCATTAGCATGCTAACACAACAATGCAGCGCAAGTTGTTTTGGTTTCATACTGGTGCTCAAGGGCGACATCTGCTGGATCAAAAAATCACATATAAAGCCTTTAATGCAGATTCCAGACCTCAGGTTAGGAAGGAAAAATGTAACAACAGCATCAGGCCAAACTGTAATTCATCCAGTCTTTAAGTTATTATCCAATGACGTGCTCACATTTCAATCAAGACATGTTTAACTATTAACTGGGCAAACATATTTATCAATGATAGCAGTATCACTCCATTCATCTCACCAAGCTGCTTTTTCTAAGTTTGAACAGCATTAAGATGCTTTAATTATAATGTTTACGTGATCTTATTACAAGAGTTTATTGAAATCCTGTCAAAACTAAGAATAATGTTGAATTCCAACCAATGAAATGCATCATTTTAAACTAAATTCCTCCAGATTAAGTTGTCTATTAGATTACAAGCAATTCAATTTCCACTAGTGAGGTTTTTTTTTTTTTGTGAGTTTTTAACAAAATTCAAGAATAAAAGTTCCTTCCTAGTAAATCCTTGCTTACTGTTGTCTTGTCTTTATAGTAAAAGGTACAATACACAGTCATCTCCCCATATTTAGGCTAACCTTTGTCATCTTTTGTTCCATTCTGGAGCCTTTAGAAGCGGACATAGAAGAGACCGGGGAACCTGCTCCAATGTACCGTCTGGTTTTAGCTGGAGACGCGGGATCTGGGAAGTCCAGTTTCCTGCTGAGACTGACGCTCAACGAGTTCAGAGGAGACATCCAGACAACACTGGGTGAGTGTAGACACATCGTCACATTTCAATCAAACACAAAATCATCTTAGTGTCAGAGATGTTAAATCTGCTCGTTGTTTCTCAGGAGTTGACTTCCAGATGAAGAAGTTGCTGGTGGACGGAGCGACGACAAATCTGCAGATATGGGACACAGCTGGGCAGGAGAGGTAACGGCCACTGTGTCATCATGCTGCTCCTTTTTGGAACAAAAATGGTGCAACTCTGAACTTTTTTTTTAAACTGTTACTGTAGGTTTCGTAGCATCGCCAGGTCCTATTTCCGTAAAGCTCATGGAGTCCTGCTCCTCTACGATGTGACTTCAGAGAGCAGCTTTCTTAACGTCAGAGCGTGGATGGATCAGATCCATGTAAGTGTTAAAATCAATGACATAGAATGACCCAGCCCCCCCCCCTCCCAAAAAGAAAAGCAGGAGGTGTATTTCATAGTTACCTTTTTTGTTTTCATTCAGGATTCAACAGACGAAAAAATCCCCATGTGTGTTATTGGAAACAAGGTGGACCTCCGGGAGCAGCTCCCAGAAAAGACGTGTGTGAGCAGCCTGCACGGAGAGAAGTTGGCAAAGGTGTGCAACTTTTCATTTTCTCCACTGATGATAACGTGTTTATACTGACACTAAAGCCTCCCAGGTGTGTCAATAAACTGAGCGCACTCAGCCATGTCGATGCTTTTGCTTGCAGACGTACGGCGCCTTGTTCTGTGAAACGAGTGCCAAAGAGGGAACCAACGTCGTGGAGGCCGTGCTTCATCTAGCCAGGTAGGAGGGCCAAAGACACAGACACAGTTTGAAGTGTTTGTCCTTTTACTTTGACCTGTTTTTTTATCTGCTCACAGAGAGGTAAAGAAAAGTTTCATCCAGAGGCGGCAGTCCCACTCCCAGCTCCGACTGAGTCCGTTCAACCAGAAGAAGAGTCCGAGCGGCTGCTGTTGACGGTACAGGACGGACGACAGAAATCTAAGGAGCCAATGAAGGACCAAGTGTTTTTGTACTGAGATGAAGACTGTTTTTTTTGTTTTTTTTGCAAAGAACATTTTTAATCTTTTGAATTTTTAACTCTCAAGTACGACGGAGGATTAGGGCCATGTTAAAAAAATATATATTTTTTTAATTTCAAGATTAAAGTCCTAAATTTACGACTTTAATCTCAATTTTTTTTTTTTTTTTTTTTTTTTAACGTGGCCCTAATCCTCCATCGTACTCAAGCGTTCAACGTATTTCTTAAATGTTATTTCCATGATCAAAGTGAAGATTGCACAAATATAAATACTTATAATGAGATTATAATACAGTTTGTAGGTTTTTTATTTATTTGGAAGTTAAATAAATGTAAATAAATAAAGGAAATTGTGATATTTTTATCGGTTTTTCTGGGGTGACAAAAACAACAGATGTTATTTTTTTTCCAAACATTTTTTATTAAGCATCATCGTGAGAAATAAAACTTTGCAGTTTCAACTTCAATTGGTAATTTATCAAACAAAATGACTTCTTTTTTTTTCCTGTGATAACTTTTCCCTTCAAATACAGACACACAATTGGATATATAAATTATAAAAACTTCAGAAATCTCTCCTGTTATAGAAGAATTGATGTTGTACATTCACAGTTATACTAAATACTGAACCTCTTTCAGAGATCCATTTTTTGTACAGTGTGAGAATCCTTCAGTCAAAAAACTCTTACGAGATTAACTGACCTAAGAGGACAGGAGACCAAACCCTGCAACCTGCACGCGATGAAGAGGATGATGCTGACGTTGAGGATTGAGAGCTCCCTGCAGTGGTTTTCAGTTTCTTGCAGTCAGAACCATTGACGTCACTAAGCTGCCCAAGGCCACAACCAGAGCTCCCAGTATAAACTTCCAGGAAAGTCCCTAAAACAACAACAACAACAACAGAGAAAATGAAACTCCAGCACGTTGTTATCAGAACAACACATACCTAACATGTTTCTGTTGGTTGCTTACAGATCGCTCTCTTTTCCTAGAAGGAATCAGAAAGGTGTGATGTTGTCCCCGAGCATCTCGGCTGGTTTGGTTTCCACCCCTGAATGTCTTGCCCTCCAGACTGCCTTTTGACCAGTTTAGACAATTCTGCGTGGATCGCCTGAAGAAAAGTAGGGAGAAAAAAATAAAAAAAGAGTTTATATGTCCTGTTAAAAAAAAGCTGCCTTCTTCATCTGAAAACCTTTGATTGACAAATGATGTGTTGCAGTTCTAAAAAATGTCCAGCAGGGGACAGCAGAGGTCTGAAACAAGCACTGATGAGTTGAAGCCACAGAATCATTTGAATCAATATTTTATCTTTTGACCTAATGTCCAAACAAATGCTTGATATTATATCTGTGAATAATGTCTCATAAGAGGGTGTGAATTGTTCTTGTGAGCGGTTCTTTTCCACTCACTTCATTACTTCATCGTCTTTTGTGATCGTCTACGATTGCAGTACAAAAAACTTTTCCCACAGAAGCTAAAATCAGTTTTCTCCAACGTTATTTAATCCAGCCTTGAGACGAGGGTGTAATTACCAAAGAAGAAGATATTTTGGTTTTTGTCTAGACAAGAGCAGACGTAGTTGTGTTGGTGGCAGTGTGCCCTATGGGTCAGAGGCCACTGGAGTAACTGGGAACAGTGTGTCGAAAACAGCTGATGGAGATGCTCGCCTCAAACTCAGCCTGCAGCGAGTGAAACCAGAGAGCCTCAAATGATGTTTGAAAAAAAATGTCTTCATTTCTGAAAACAGAAAACGTTTACACAGTGTGGACTTGTTGCTCTCGGGGGTCGACTCTGGCTCTCTCTCTCTCTCTCTCACCTTCACTTTAATACTTTTGGTGCGCCGAGCATTTGGTCCAAACAATACTCAGCTCAACACGTTATTTTTACTGTCGTTGCCGGACATCTCAGAGAGCAGTGTGGTCACATCTGCAGACTGCCAGATGTGCAGTTTGCTCAGAGTATTTGGCAGCATTAGAAGAACCACACAAACAAGACAGAACAGGCCCTCTGGAACAGAAGCAGCTCAGTGGGATAACAAGCGAGGCGTCTCTTGTCCTTCTTAATGTGTAAACAAATGAGTTGGGGGTTTTTGAATTCTGGACACTTTCATATTGCACATGAAGGGGGGGGTTCTTCTTGAAGGAGGTGAGCAGCACCTCCAAAAATGTTTTCTGGTAACTGAAAAGATGCAATACAAAAAACAAGCTGTTGTGAAATTTGAAGGAGTGGATGAGGTTGAAAGGAAACTGTGAATAATATGTTTATAATGAGGCCGTAAATCAAATTCATTGTATTCAAACTTATAACATTAGACTTCAAGATTTTGTTTTGACTGGATGGAGATTTAATGTAATACTGTTTTCAACAGGTATTACTCTCAGAATATATTTAAATGGACTGAGACTATTAACTGAAATTTGTGGTAACATTTTGTTTTTATTTTGTTTGGTCTTGTGTTGGTTTCTAAAAGCCTCATTGATTTATGAATTTACTTAACTGCTCTGTTAGTGCTTGACTTTGGTCCAAACTAAATTTGATCAGAGTTTTTTTTTCGATTGTTTGCGACCTCAAAGCAGTGATAGGTTGTTTTTTCCAGATGGCAGCAGCTAGGGAGGACGACTCTTTTTCTGTTGGATTTCACAGCACTTGTGTCCGGGTGTAAAAACTGTTTAAACAAATATAACAAATACTTTATGCTGGACAAAAATTACCAACCATACCTTTAAAGCTTAAAGGTGCACTATGGAGTTTTGGTAGAGAAATGTGAAAGTTGGAGAAATGTACAGATTATGTACGATATGTTCATAACTCTAAACACAAACTGCCCTGAAACTGACAATTTGGTCTCTGGAAAACTGTTGGAAGATAAAACGCTATGTGAGAAGTTATGGTGGTGGGCCCGCAAGAGTGAAACTGTAACTCTCCTGGTAGCTTTAAAGCTCCAAACATTTTTTCCTTTGAATAAAGTTTGTGTATTTAGTTCAGAAACAGCATAGAATTGTTTCCCTTCTCCAACTTTGAAATGTAACTACCAAATCTACATAGTGCACCTTTAAAGTTGTGCATTAAAAGTGAAAGGTGGGTAAAGCTATATGTCAACTATGAACTCAGCTAAGTCAGTGCACTTCTCTCTGAGTGGTGTAGCTACCTTTTTGGAGGTTTTTTTGTTTAACAAATAACAGACATATGGCTCTATGTGTGTGACAGGGAGAGAGGACGGACCAGCTCTCCCACATAATCTCACCTTGGTGGTTGGCTCCAGTTTCAAGGCCCTTTTGAGCACCTCCATGGCCTCTTTGTATTCACCTTTGTCTGACAGGAGCTGAAGGAGGAAAACCAAAAGTGTGAGTAGTGCAGCAGGAACATGTTACTCAAAACAGGCAAGAGTCTAGATAAGAAGAATGAAGCAACAATTTGTTGTCAATCTCAATCCATATTATGTATTATTATAAATGTTCAAATCATGATGTATTCATTTGGGAAAAGGATTGGGTCCTCACCTTCCCAGCCCTGAAAAGGGCCTTGACGTTGTTGGGCTCCAGGGTCAGGACATCTTGGCTCGTGCGCAGAGCGTCGTCAAACTGCTCCAGTTTGAGTTGAGCGGCGGCCAGATTGTTTAAACACTTCACTCTGTAGTCCTTCACCTCCTCCTCTTCTGCCTTCACACCGACATCACTGCCATCTGTGCAGAGACACAAACACACACAACCTCTGATGTTTACTTAACTACTTTAATAAGATGACAAAAAGTAGTTGACACACACACACACAGAAAAGTAGAAGGGACTGACCATGAAGAGTGCAGAATATAAAAAAATATTACAACTTTTCCAGAAAAACTCTCATTGGAATTGACAGATCACATTCTGTTTTTCCGTTCAGTTGGATATTGTGTGTCAGTCCCGGCTGTAACAACAGTATGGTTTCATCATTAGACACAAATATGTCCAGCTGAATGCAGCAGTGACCCAGGTAATGAGCACATGTTAGTGAAAAGGAATTTTTAAACCATACCCAGAGCATGATAGGTGACCTATATTAGCAGCCAAAGACCACATCTGTGTGTGTGTGCACATAGATTTAGAAAATGAATTCACCCTTTCAGCAGATACAGGGCAAGATTCAAGTAAATCAGGTTTATTGTTTTTGTCTTATACAAGTCCAATCTTGAGCCTCCTTTCAGCTGAGTTTCTGGTCTTTACTAATTCCTGAATGAAAGACATTACAGTCAGCTGATAGTTTACTCTGCCTATACCTGACTGTTGGTACTCAGCTGATAATATACAGTGTTGTTTTCACTGAGGACAGCTGCTTACTGTGGCTGAAAACAAGTTAATGAGAGCAGAGAAGTAAAAAAAGACCACAGCTTAAATAGCAAAAGCCAGGGTAAGCTTTAAGGGAGAATGCAGAGTGAGGTGAATATTCTGGGTCTAGATTTCTTCAGAGGAGCAAGTTCTTCGACATAACTTAAAACCTTTTTTAAGTTTAAAAAAGTTCAGGTTTAAGCTCCAAATTCATTTTCTCTGAATGTTGAATTCTACATTTGCGATTATTGATTATTTAATTTTATGTTATTTTTCTTGTGAAATAACTTGAATCTGTGAAATGCTCAGACCAAATTTTTCTCTTTCTCTCTCTGACTGTTTTTTTCTCTCCCTCCCTCTCTCTCTCTCTCTTTCTTTCTTTTTTCCAAATGCTTAAAGATAAGCAGAATAAATGCTTCAATTAGATGTTTTCTACTTCACTGTACGTACATAAGGTTTGGTAATTGGTGAAATCATGAGACAATTAAAAGATTTAATTTCTAGTGAGAGAGAGCCTGTTTAGTGGCAAATTATAAATTATGAATCAACTCCAGGGGTTTGATAACCTCCTAATATCATGAATCACATTTCTAAAATAAGTACCAAAATGACTCCCAAAGTACTGAAGATGTTGGTGCCTATATGCTTTAATGTTTATTTGTTGTCTTCTCAAACTCTAATTGCACCATCTTGATGCCCTGATGAACTCCTCTTCTCCGATC